GCAGTGGGCCGCCGGCCGCGGCTCAGCCCTTCCGCCCCCGCATCCCTCCAGCCCCGCTCACCTGGCTCTCGGACCCGAGTTACCCACCTCCTAACGTCGGGGGCCTCTGCTCTCCAGAGGACCCGGGTCTGCATCGCAGTCCCCGGGCCTGAAACCCGGAGCTGCGGGCCTGGGTGGGGTGAGCTCCCTCCGCCCCAGCCCGGCTGCTAAGAAGGGAGGATTCCGCCCTTGGAGATGACTTTTGAAAGGAGCGCGGCCTTCCTCCCGTGCCCCTCACCTCCCCGGCCTCTCCCGTCCCTCGCCCACTTTGGGGGTAGGAGTTGGCTCCCGCCGCCTACACTGCTCCTCCAGGCCCCGAAGGTAGAGAACAGCGCGCACCTGGAGGCTCTGGGGCTCTCCGCCCCCGTTCCCACCGGCTGGCCTGGCCTCTCTCTTTCCCTGGTCTCTAGGGGGCTCCCTCACTCCCTGTCCATTCCTGTGCCCCTCTCCTTTGCAGTTGGCTTGGATGCGGCCGGCAAGACTACGATCCTCTACAAACTGAAGTTGGGGGAGATTGTCACCACTATCCCCACCATAGGTGAGCCCGGGGGAGGAAGGGAGGAGCTGGAGCGCAGCGGCGGCCCTTTTCGGTCCGGGTCAGGCACCAGTCCTGCCCAGGCTCTTATCTGGAGCCGACTGTGACACCAGATACCGCTCCTGGAGAAGTGGGTCGCGGTATCTCTTCGTGCGGGGTGTTGCCAGGGGCGGGGTGGATGTGGCTTAGCCCTGCCCATCTGTTGATCGCTGATCCCCTTGGGTTCCACTCCCTAACCCTTCTGGTTTTATACCCCTGCTGAGATCCAAATAGCTTTGGTGAGTTCCTTCCTTTCAGGACTTTTTCTCATACCACCCCACCCCCCACCCCGCAAATTATCTGCAGGTTTCAATGTGGAAACAGTGGAATATAAGAACATCTGTTTTACAGTCTGGGATGTGGGAGGCCAGGACAAGATTCGGCCTCTGTGGCGGCACTACTTCCAGAACACTCAGGTGAAGTGTGAAGGGGCGACTCCCCAGCTCCAGAAAAGAAGGATTAGGAATAGAAGAACTGAGCTGTTGGCCCAGGAACCCTCCCCGGCCCCTTCCCTGCTTTGCTTGGCTAGCCTCTGTTCAGCCTTCTGAACTCAAACCTTAGTCTCATTCTGCGACCTAGTGAGTGAACTGAGAGGTCTTCTGGGAAACTGTGTTCTGAGGCCAAGCTGCCTGATTGGGCTCCTAAGTATCTTCCCTGGCCCCTTGTGTGTCTGTTAGGTAGACTGCTTATTTGAGAGTAGAGGCTGTATTCTTTGTAGTGGCGTCTCTAGTTTGTACAGAGCCTTCAAGGGAGGTTGCTAGATAAGGAATACTGTCACAGCTAAAGATGAGAAAAGAGAGAAAGAGCCAGGTTAGGGTACTACCTGGGTGGGAGTGATTGCCTCTCCTTCAATTCCTCCTTTCTACCCAGGGCCTCATCTTTGTGGTAGACAGTAATGACCGAGAGCGGGTCCAGGAATCTGCTGATGAACTACAGAAGATGGTGAGTACCCAGATCCTTGAAAGTGAGCCCGAAGGTTGGAGTCAGATCTCTATGATGGTGTGGAAGTCAGGGAACTCCCCATAGGTATTGAAGGCAGGGAATGTGGATTTCTTTGTGGCACAAGACACTGGGTGTTTCTCACCATTTGGCATAGGACTGACCTTTTCTACAAGTTTTCTTGCCTTTATATCCAAGTATGAAAAGTTGGTAGGGAGAGGGGAATTATATGTGGTCGAAAGAAATAGCTGCTCATACACTTGCTTGGTCCATGTGTGCCATAGGTTCACCATCACTGGCTGAGGTGGTCTCAAGCTCATTTGAAACTATCTTGTGCTAGGAATTTAGTTCAGTGGTTCCGCCACCTGCATAGAAAGCCTGAAGATCCCAGATTCGATCCCTGGTACCAAAAACAAAAACAAATGAACCAAAACTCTATCTTGTGTTCAGCAGTAGAGTATATAATACTGTGTTGTTTCTACAAAGAAAATAGAAAGGGGGGTTCCCAAGACAGCAGCTAGGAGGGAGCCTGGAGATCCCCTTCAACCAACCCTCTCTCATTCCCTCAGCTCCAGGAGGATGAGCTACGGGATGCAGTGCTGCTGGTATTTGCCAACAAGCAGGATATGCCCAATGCCATGCCCGTGAGCGAGCTGACCGACAAGCTGGGGCTACAGCACTTGCGCAGCCGCACGGTGAGGATCCTGCCCCATCACAGTGGGCCCTGCCTATCACTGGGAGACCCACAGGCTGGGGCAAGCATAGGCACCCCCTTTCTCCCTGCTGCTGATCTCCTTTCTTCTTCCCGCAGTGGTACGTCCAGGCCACCTGTGCGACTCAAGGCACAGGCCTGTATGATGGGCTGGACTGGCTGTCCCATGAGCTGTCAAAGCGCTAACCAGCCAGGGGCAGGCCCCTGCTGCCCAGAAGCTCCCGTGTGCATCCCGGGGATGACAAGACTCACGGATTCCTCAGGCAGTGCCCTTGCCTCCACTCTTCCTCCCCACAGACAGGCCTCTGCTCGTGCTCCTGCCTGCATGTTCTCTCTGTCGTTGGAGCCCAGAGCCCTGCTCTCTGGGCACAGAGGGGTTCTCCCTCCTGCCTGCTGGGACCTGTGGAAGGGCTTCCTGGCCAAGGCCCCCTTTTCCAGAAGAGAAGCAGGGATCTGGGTTTACTTTTGTTTTATTTTCTCTTTGGGCTGTACCCTTGGGGCCAGGTTTGGGGGGGAAAGTGAGGGCTGTGGGTGGTGCTATGATGTGAAACTGGATATTGAGTAATAAATTTGCTGTGGTTTGTACTCAGTGTTGTCTGTGGCCCAGAAGCCAGAGGCTGGGTTTGTGGGGTACAAAGAGACAGTATGGAAGATGGTTAAAGCAGCTGAGGCTGCAGGACCAACATACACGTGCACACACTCATCTATTCCACCTTCTCCCTCTTTACTCTTAAGCTAGAAATGCCAGTCAGGGTTCCAGTAGAGTGGGGAAGTGGGGAGCATTTGCTGATTCTTAGGAACATGAGCAGGGGATAACAGGATCTATCTTTATGGTTCCATAAGCAATGTAACTCATTTCCATCCTTCTGATTACATAAAACAGTAGTTGTTTGTGATTTTGTGTTTGACACAGAAAAAGATATGCACTCAAAATGTGGGACCTGGGCACAATGCACAAGATGATTCATCAGGACTAGTCTGAATTTCCCAGATCTGGCATTAAGATCTTTTAGCCTTGAATTGCAAAATCCTGGTGGAACTAGGGGATTACCATTTCTTACTGGGCACCACTGGGACTCTTCCTACTTGGGAGGACGCCATCTATGGAGAATCAGAAAGTGCATTTAAAGAACCAGGACTATGGGTTAACTGTCCATTTCCCTTAGGATCCCAGCAAAAATGAAACCCATTATTACCACTGTCATTTATTTTTGTCTTTTTCCCCTTTAATTTCATGTTTCTAGCTTGGGTTCCTCCTTGTGCCTCACAGGAAGTGTCCCAAAGACCTCTGGACAATGGAGCTTCCTTGGAGGGGAAAGACTGGTATTTTGAAAAACAGCTCCAGCTGTCCAGCCAGCCAGCTGACCTGCCCACCAGCAATACAGCCAGGGGCTCCCTCCATGCAAGCCATTCTTGCCATGGTTCTGAGCCAGCCCTTTCCAATTAATACAAGTTATTTCACTCTTGCTGGATATCTAGGGTTTCCTCACACTGCAAAATGCTTCTGAGACATTCATTCTGGCTTCATTTTCTTAAGGGCTTAAAAGCTGATCGATTTTTCTTGGATATCTGAAAAAAATCCAACTGAAAATTCTTGAACTAAAAAAAAAATATTTGAGACACAAGGGAGCCAGGCAGAATCCACTTCCTAGGGAGGAAATAGGTTGATTTCTATCCTGCTAATGAGAAACAGGCAAAAAGAGGGACACACCTAAAGTCACAGGCTACCTTTCTGATACCTAGTCAGCTCAGCTTACCTTATTGCCCGGAGTGACATGGGACATGGGGAGGTAAATGGCAGAGGGTCTGGGCACACTTCCTCAGGGCCATGCGTTGATGTTGCTGCACTGTGGTGGGATAAAAGGTGGCCCTCACAGTCACAATGCTCCCGAGTCACAGAGGTGTTTGCCCCTAGGTCAGCATCTGCCTGGGAAGTTACCTGTGGGAACATCTTGGTGGGTGCTACAGGCCTTATTCCAGGCCCTATGGCCTGTGGGACCTCACCAGTCGGGGGAAGGCTGGTCAGGAGAGTGTCATCACCTGTAGCACCAGTCCCATGGATGAGGTGGAGTGGATGCACAGAAACCCAAAGGCTGAGGACCTCAGGATTGGGCTCATCAGCTGGGCAGGAACCTACCTCACCTTCGAATCATATAAGAACACAGTCACAGCTAATGCAAAGAGTTTGGGCAGGAGACAGGTAACAAGCAAACCCATATGGAACCAGCTTTCTGAGTGTGTGGTGTGTGTGGCAGTGGGGTGTAGTTAAACTGATCACTTTTCCTCGTCCCTAGCAAGACACGTATACTCCAGGTCTCTAAACCTATCCCCCAAGGTGAGGCCTCATCCCTGGCCTGCTTTTACTCTGTTCAGACTACTACTCACACTCCATCCCAACCCAGGAGGATTGTGTCATCACAAAAAGGAGAGGTCAAGAGCCCAGGTTGGAAGGCAGGACTGGGGTATCCAGGGGGAGTTGAACCAACTGGACCATAGTGCAAGGTCTATGTTTCTGTTCTGATTATAGTTTGAGAATAGAGTATTCTAGAAGCTGCTGCAGACTTGTTCTCCATTTTAGAGAGGACAGTAGATGTCTCTGCAGTGGGTACCAGAATGAGGCAGAAGCAAAGTCCTCTTCTTATGACAAAATTGACTACATCAAACCAGGCACTGACATCTCAACAGTCTGCTCCCATCTTTTTCCCTGGAGCTAGGTCTGCTTCTAAAAGTTCTTGCTTTTCTCCTGCTCTATTGGGAAAAAGACTTCTGGGGACTGGAGGTATTGGCTGAGTGGTATTCAAGAGTAAGTGAGGGCACAAAAAGTCAAACTTAAACCAGAATTCTTGGAAGCTTTTCTTGGAAAATTAGGTTCTGAAGGACAAGATCAAGGAAAGCAGAAAAGTTTACTTTTTTTTTTAGCTGGGGAACGTGGGCATCTGGTTTTCTTTGGCTCTGGAGGAGCCCTAAAGCTCCAGTGGTGGAACACCCTAGAGATCTTTTCACTACTGTTAACTGGGAAGGTGGATGAGTTGATGCACAGGAGACAACAGGACATAAGAGGGTAAGCTGGTTGATATTAGTAAAGGTTCTGGGGTGATGGTTATAAGGTTCCTCAGTCTAGTCACTTAGCTATACTTATTTCCCTCTTTTCCCTCCTGATCATCCAGATCTGGGATCTCCTGGTGAGCAATGAGCATGAGACAGAGGCTGTGGTAAGACTAAAGAGCTTGAAAGGCCTCTACCTTCTATGTGAAGGGGATGGTTCTGTGTGCCATGGCCAGCCACGGACCAGCCACCACGGATGCTTCCTACTCCGATTCCACCGGAATGGCAAGTGGACCCTCCAGTGCATAATTTCTGGTCGTTATCTAGAGTCTGATGGCTCAGACGTGTTCTGCAACTCCCGGGTCCTCTCAGCTTACCACATGTGGACCCCCCGGCCAGCCCTGCATGTACACGTGACTCTCTATAGCCCCATCTACCGCACCTATGCCCGGGCTGACCATACTGTGGGCCGCATCTGGGTGGACACAGCAATCCCTTGCATGGAGGAATGTGGCTTCCTGTTGCATTTTGAAGATGGATGCTATCACCTGGAGACCTCTACACACCACTTCTTGTCCCATGTAGACCGATTTGTCTCCCAACTCTCATCACAGACAGCTTTTCACATGCAAGTGAGGCCTGGAGGGCTTGTGGCACTGTGTGATGGAGAAGGAGGCACCTTATATCCACAGGGCTCACACCTGCTCCTGGGCCTGGGCTCCAGTCCCATGAAGGGTGCAGAGTGGTTCATACTACAACATTTCCCTACCTGGGTCAGCCTCAGGTCAAAGGCTCGGAAGTTCATCTCAGTCCTCTATGGCAAGTGCTGGGTCGACACACCCCGAGGGAGGATGGGCTAGCTACTGAAAAGAGGCAATTATATCTGGAATTAGCAAGGATGTTTTGTTTTGTCTTGTTTTGTTGTTTTTTGAGACAGGATCTCTATATAGTTTAAACTGGCCTTGAACTCACTATGTAGCCCAAGATGACCTTGAACTCATGGTGATCTTCCTGCCTCAGCCTCTTTGAGTGGGCTTACAAGTGTGCACCACCATGCCTGGCTAGCAAGCGTTTATGAACTTGCTCATAGGGAAGATCTTGGAGCCCCAGGGGGATATCTTGTGTAGTGGAAGAGAGACAAGTAGGGATATGAGCTGTAGAGAAAATTTGCCCTGATCTTCTCCAGACTACTGTGGCCCCACAATGAAGGTTGGAAAGGGAAAAGAAAGGGAAGCCCAGCATTAAAGCATGGAGCCAGAGCTGAGACTGAAGGAGAGGTCAGACTAGAATTCTGCTGACATATTTTCTCTGTAGGTGCTCAGGTGTGCGCTACCTCTTCACGCTTGACACCAATGTCCTTGTTCCAGTTTGAGTATGACAGCAAGAGCCCCACTTTGCAGCTTCGTTCCACCAATGGCTGCTACCTAGTCCAGGTAAGACTTTGGCTCTCAGAACTAGAAACCATCAACTCTGAGCTCTCCCTTTCTAGACACATCTTTTTTCTGCAAGACAGATGACTAGATGGCAAGGTGACCTGTCAGGCCTTTGTCCACAAACATTCATTTTCCCCAGTGGATCCTCTTTTTTAAAAAAAATCAACGTTATTGGGGCAATATTAAATATATGCACATTATATAAAATATGCATAAATCATGTGTGTTATATATAAATAAATTATGTAAACTGTATATGTTTGTTATAAGAATAAAATGCCCTCATTTTAAGTGTAAAATTCAGCAGATTTTAACAACTGTATGTGCCTATGAGGCCAGGCCACAAGCATTCAAGTTAGAGAGTATTTCCTCTACCATAAAAATTCCCTCCTGACTCCTTACAGTCCTTGTCTCTCCACTTTTGACCCTTCCCAACACATGGGCCATCTGTATTCTGCTCTTACGAATTAAAATTTCAGGTTACTGGACTCCTGTGGTATGTACAGCATCTATGCTTCTTTGTGTGTATATTAAGCTTCATCTGTGATGTTACGTAGATCAGGAGTTCCTTCCTTTTTACTAAAGAGTGTATTCTAGTATATGTGCTGCCGGAGTGAGCACAATTACAGAGTACATTCTCAGATATACTTTGTAAACATAAACACAACCTTCTATCCACTCACTTATTGATAAACACTTGGAATGTTTCCACTTTGGGGTATTAAAAGTGAAGTTGCTATGAACATACGTGTATAAGTCTTTTTGTGAATCTATATATTCATTTATCTTGGCTAAATACCTAGCAGTAGAAGTAATAAATTATATGATAGATGTTAAATTTCATAAGAAACTACCCAGCAGTTTTCTACAGTGATTAGACCATTTTACATTTTGCCGGGATTCTGATTGCTCCATATTCTCACCAACACTTTTTATCGTCTTTTTAATTGGAGCTGCTTGAATGAATGTGTAATGCCTTCTTATTAAGGCTTTTAGTTACGCTTACATTTTAGTTAGTCATTTAAAGCATCTCTTTATGTGTTTATTGGTCACTTGTATAACTTCCCTGTAAGGTGTATGTTCAAATCTTTTGCACATTTCTTATTGGGTTGTTTGTCTTATTACTGAGTTGTAAGAGATCTTTATATGTTCTAAGTTCATGGCCTTTGCCAAATATATTTACATTCCACATTGTCCCAATCTGTGGCTTACCTTTCATTTGCTTTTGAGCAGCAAGTCTTTAACTTTAATGAAGTCCAATTTGTCAATTTTTAAAATTCTTACGGCTTTTTTTTTTTGTCCCAAGAAATCATTGCCTACCCCCAGTGGCCAAGAATTTCTCTCACATTTTCTCCTAGACATTTCCTAGTTTATTTTTCACTTTTATGTCTACAGTCCACTTCAAAACAACTTTGGAATCATCCAATTTTTCTCCCTCTGAGAGTCTGGTGCCTTTTTTTTTAAATTGTGGGCTCTAGCATACAGCACAGACTTGGAGAAGAGAGAGAGCCGAGGCCACAGCATGCCTTTCTGAAAGGATCTAAAGGCAACATGTACTTGGAGAATGACAAGGACTGAGGGGCAAGAGATATAGAAAGAAGGTCCAGGAATAAAAATGATGAAAAGAAAGCTGAGATAGTTTGTCCTTACTCCTGGCCCATGTTCCCAATATTCTCTCTCCAGAGGCCCCATAGAACAGTGATGGCTGATGGGCACCCAATGGAGTCTGATACCTTCTTCCGTGTGCACTGGAATTGTGGGAAGATCATCCTGCAATCCTCCAATGGGCGCTTTCTGAGCATTGCACCCAATGGTCTGCTGATAGCCAATGCCACCCTCCCAGGTGAGCCAAGGATCCCTTCTGCCAGGTTATTCCAAGCCAGAGATACTTTTCAAGAGAGATGAACTATTATTTATTTCTAGAAAAGTACTGGAACCACTGGAGTTAGGGATAAATATTTAGGTCTACACACCCACTCAATCAACTGAATTTTCCTTGTTACCAAACCAAACTGCCTTTTTGAGTTTTAATTTTGTTGTTTATAAAAATGAAAGTGTTCTCCACTTTGTTGCCTCACAGAATAGTTGAGAGGATTAAACAGATTATCCCAAAGGAAAGAAGAATATTAAAATGTCTTGGGGTAGATACTTTTACAAGCATCTAGCATTAAGACCTAGCACATAGCAGGTGTTTGTTAAATGTTAAATATTGACAACATCCATCTGCAGTTAGTGTTTCCCTCCTGCTTCCATCTGGGAAACCATCTAGAGAGTCCATCCAGGTAACACCTTCCTATTTCTTTCAGGCCCAAATGAGGAACTGGCAATTCGATTTGCCAACCGCCCCTTCCTTGTATTGCGAGGTCGGTATGGGTATGTGGGCTCCACATCAGAACGTGACCTCATCCAGTGCAATATGGATCAGCCGGACTGCATTCAGCTCCTTCCCTGCCACCAGGGCATTTACCACTTTCAGGGTGAGTGACTCCTCTTCCCCATCCTAGAGTTCACAGTCTAGCTATTGCCTTAACCCCAGGCATAAAAGGGCAAACAGGATCTCTGTTTTCACACTGCAAGGCTCCAGAATGGATTGGCAGAAGGATCCAGGGAATCCCTGTTGGTCCTCCTGCATTTCCACAGAAGGACTTGCTAATACAGGATGGGCAGCTGGGGAAGGAGGGGATTCCCCCAGGAAACCTCCTCCGAAGCCTCACTGCTGGAGGACCTCCTCCAATCAGACCACCAACCTGAGTCTTCCCTCCGCAGCACAGGGTGGATCATTCTGGTCAATAACATCCTTTGGCACCTTCCGCCCTTGGGGAAAGTTTGCCCTCAACTTCTGCATAGAACTTCAGGGGAGCAACTTGCTCACTGTGCTGGCACCCAATGGTTTCTACATTCGAGCTGACAGAAGTGGCACCCTACTGGCAGACAGTGAAGACGTTACCAAAGAGTGTATCTGGGAATTTTAGGTAAGGGGGAGTGGGTGAGAAACTATAGGGTAGAGGAGCAGGAGCAGGAAAAGATAGTTTGGGAGGTATGTGATGGAAAGACCAAAACGCACACCCCGGCTGACTCTGCCCAAGATTTTATCAACTCCAGACACTTACTCCTTGTGGGCTTCTAAACCTGAAGTGGCTAGAGAGGAGAGAGAAATTGCACTTGTGTTTCTTGCTCTTATGTCACACTGACATGTGTACTTGCAAATGGACCTGGAGGGGACTGAGTGAGGTGTGCTGGCCCATCTCTCCTTTAAGATCTAGAATTTTACCCCATCATGGGGGATATAGGTGATTTTGAGGATGAATATGGGTGAGAAGACATGTGCTTTCCATCCTATGTACTTTCCTTTACCCTCTGGATCCCCAGCTCTCCATTATTCATCTCTAGTCCTAATCCTTAAGGTCAACTTCATTCTGTCAGTTCCTCAAAATCTGTGTAGCTAAAACCTGCCTCCTCATTCTCCCCTCCTAAGATGAGTCTCTTCCTTAGATGCCTTCTCTCTTCCTTAGTTGTCTGGAGAATTGCCATTCTCCGAGATGCTCAGACTCAAGACCTCAGTGCTATCTCTGTATCCTTCCTTTTGCTCCTCTATCACCCTGGTACTTCCTTAGTAATCTGGAGTGTTTGCCTCTTCATAATTACCATTGCTACTGGCCATGGTGGTACATGTCTAATCTCAGTACTCAGGAGGATGAGGCAGGAGGATCACTCCTGAATTCAATGTCAGCCTGAAAAACATAGTGAATTTAAGGCCAGCCTGAACTGCCTGGTCATAGCCTATCTCAAAACATAAAGAACAAAACAAAACAAAACAAAAACTAATTACCATTGCTGTTCCAAGCTTCCAGCAAAAGCCCAACCTGTTTCCAAGGAAACAGCAGCAGTCCCTTCCCCCGGATCTGGCCCCATCCTATCTTCTGCACACTAAGTTCACCTTTCTAACACATTGCTTCCCTGTTATTCTCTGTTCATAACTCTTCGGGGCATGTCATTGATCTTTTGCTCTTTGTCCTGTCCTTTTGCAACTGATCTCATTTTCCTAGCTTGGGAGGTCACCAGGAAATTGTCCTAATATAAGACAGAATTGGATTCAAGAGCTAGTGAGCTAATAATCTAGAGCTAATGACTTTAGAAAAATTGCCTTCACATTTCAAGACCTTGGCTTCCTTATCTGTAAATGGGAACAATAGCTACTCCATAGATTGTGAAGGTTAAATGTCAATCTGAATCTAAATATAGACCCTCAGTAAATGTTCACTTTTTATCCCCCTTTTCTACCAGTCTTCTACACAGATTCTTTATTATGATCAAATGAGAAAAATAAAATGAAATTCCACTGGACTTCAGTTTTCTTATTTTTTTAATGAACAATTTGAATTGAATTAAATTTCTCAAGCTCCTTCCCAGCCTGACATTCCAGTAGACAGTACATGATAGTGGCTAAGAGAGCTCATTTCTAGACTCAGTTTGGATTGAGCTAAATTTTCTCAGGCTCCTTCCAAGCTTGACATTCTAGTAGATGGTGCATTCCAGTGGCTAAGAGCTCATATCTAGAGCCAAACCTTGGCTTTAACTAGGTTCTCATCAGTTAAACTTGGCTCTTTGGTCTTGGGCAAGTTAAACTTTTCAAACCCTGTTTCTTGTGAGTGAAATGGGAATATTTTATTGACCTTGAAAAATTGTTGTGGAGTTTACACAAGAAAATGAATGTAAAATTCTTTGTGAAAGCTGGCACCTAAAATATTCTCATTCTATTTAAAGTCTTCTCTAATCCAGTTCCATTCTTAGTAAACCAGGGATGGGCAATAGCTTAGTAGTAGAGCATGTATTAGAGGTGTAGCTCAGTGGTATAGCATGCATTTAGCTTGTGTGAGGCCCTGGGTTTGATCCCCAGCACCAAAATAAAACAACACATTTTTGTTAAGCTATCTTTCCTGTTGACTATAGTCTTCTGAACTCTGATGGGAGGGGTTTTTTGAACCATTAATACAAATAATTCTTCCTGTCTTTTCCAATGAATTAACTTCATATATTTCTAGTGTTTATTCCTCACCATGAATGGGACAAGTCACTTTATTCTCTGTCCTCCCATGGGCTTTTACCCAGTATCTCCTAAAAGCCAGAAATCAGCAAATGACCACCTGATTGCTAAAGATTCATGTTTCCTCTTCCGTCTCCAGATCAATGGGATACCACCTGCCAAACTCCAAATCCTCCAGAAGAAACAGCTGCACAAAACAGCGCAGAACCCCCAGAGTCAAGATCCAAGAGAAGAATATGTCACACAACTTTTCCTACCCAGTTTAGCCAAACACCTGTTTCAAGCAACAATACGTCACAACAGGCCACCCCCAAGATGCTTGTGTGCATTTGACTGAGCAGAGAATACGGAGTCTGCCTGAGGGTGGGCTCTGCATTCCCGGGCAGCTGTGATTTCTGTCCAGGAGAAGGGAGACCGAGGGTAACCAGTTCTCCCACTTGTGCTCCCCATCTCTACCTAGAATCACTAAAGCTTTCAAGTGACTACATGATTCCATCCCTGCCACGAAGGATTCAGAATCCATGTATAACCTAAACATTCTTCTGGGTTAGAACAAATGAAGGAGTTTTAATCATAGGGGCAAAGGATGATGGGAATAGTACCTTATTCCTGTATAGCCCACTCTCACCTCCCTCCACTACAGTTTATCGAACTTCCTTGTCCTTTCATTTTTACCTTTGATCCAGAAAAATAGGTAGGACATTACTTCTTCCACTATTTTTCACCCTGTACAAGGAGCCAAAATTATTCCTTCACCCAAGGTCCCATATAAGCACAGCATAGCTAGGCCTGTAACTTAGATATTCTGACTTTGATGTCCATCATTCTTTCCATCAAAAATAGGGTTTCCAATAATTGTATGTCTTTCTGGCACTGTCTGTATGATTTTGACCTTATCTGTTCTATTAATTTTTTTATTGACCTAGACTCTTAAAGACATTTATTTTGGAAAGAATATTGTATGAATGTCAGGGGCAAGGCAATTTGTAATAGCTAAAACTTGGAAACAGCCCAATTGCCCATCAACTGGAGACTGGATAAAGAACATGTGGTTTTTCTTATGAGTACTACTCAGCTATAAAGAATGAGAAACTAGAGACATTTATAGTTAAATGGATGCATATTGAGGCCATACTCTTAAGTGAAATAAATAGGACACACATGTAAATAAATAGTTTCTTTGGTGTGAAAAACTAAAAGTGTAAATAAGGTTCAAATTGTATGATTGATAATGTGAAATAGGAAGGAAAGGTCTAAAGGAGTAGGGGAAGTGGAAAGGGTAGGAGAAAGAAAAAATATGAGAAAAGGAAAAAAATGGAAACAGTCTTTGTAGATGGGGGGGTGAGGGGAGGGCAGGGGTATGGGAAAAAAAAATAGGAACCAAGATATATCATGTAAAGGTACAAGATCCCAATGATGAATGCAACTTACTGTATACCTAAAAAGTACCAATAAACTTAATAATTAAAAAAAATCAAGGGTGAGAGGTGAGGAGGAGGGGAAGGGGGAATGAGAGGAGTAAAGATTTGCAGTATACAGTACCCTAATAACTCCAATTAATGTAAACACTGTATGCCGAAACATGAGCTAAGGCTAAGAATATCAACCAGTACGAAAAGGGAATAGCGAAGTGGAAGGGGAAAGGGTAGGGAGAGGGACAGACAAGGGGACTGTAAAAAAAGAAACAGTGGCTGGGATTTAGGATTTAGCTCAGTGGTACTGTGCCTGCCTCTGCCTCACAAGTGCAAGGTCCTGAGTTCAGTCCCCAGTACTGAAAAAGAGAAAGCAAGCAAGCAAGCAAGCTGTGATATGTACATGTACCACTCCCCAAGTTATCTGTAAATTGTATGAATCACAAACATGTACTCATTAAATAAAAAATTATTTTTAAAGAATATTAATATCATAAAGCAGAAAACCACAATCACTGGCCATAAATAATAAGTGACTATAAAAATAAATACCATGAAAATAGAGCGATGTTATCAGATCCTAGTTCAATCTCTCCCCTTCTCCCAGTGCTCGGCACCCAAGGCTCACTTTCCCTTTGTTAGTAAAAGAAATTAACAACTACTAAAGAGAAACCAAATGAACCAAAATGAAATTTTCTCCCGATGCAATCAGAACTGAAAGAGAATAGAACAGGGAATAATTTTCTCACTTCTGACTCACTACTATTTAAAACAGCAGCCACATGCCTCCTACAATGTTCCCAAACATCAGCAGCAATGCCTGAATGCCAAAGTGAGTGCCTGATTTGTAAATCCATTGAAAGAAGACTGAAACCAGAGGTTGAGAGAGGCTCAGTTTGGATAAAGGAAAATGACTTAAAGTTTCTGGAAATATATTTTACTTCAAGATACATAAAATAATTTAATTTTTTAAATGTGATAGGTAAAGGCCAAAATTCTAGAGACATTAAGCATAGCCCAATGCCTCTGAAGACTCAGCCACTCAGGACACTGAAGCCACAGGATCACTTGAGCCTAGGAGTTCGCGGCCTATCTAGACAATGCAGTGACACTCTGCCTAAAATAAAGTCCTATCACTCTAGAGAAATAGGACTCTGTGAAGATCCTTTAATGCAGCATCACAAACACCTACTCAAACTGGGTGTGGTGGTGCATATCTGTAATCCCAGCACTTGGGAGGCTGATGCAGGAGGATCACTGTGAGTTCAAGGCCACCCTGAACTACACAGTGAGACCCTGTCTTCAAAAATAAATAAACTTAAATGTATGGGCATGTGTGTTCAGGAATATACTTGTATGCACACACCCCATCTTATGCCCAGCTCCCCACAAGCGACAATTCATCCTTTGCTCGAATGTGCTCAGCCCTGAGACCCTAGCTGGGACAGTTCCTCTGTTGCTGATGTCAGTCATGTGGCTAAAGTGAATGGCTTTTCTCAGATCGCACTGTACACATCAGCAGACCATAAAATCTTCCTTATTTCTTTGGCAGTGGTGACCAGCAGGGACTCCAGCTTGAAATCAGAGAAGACAGGACTGGGCAGGTTGTACATTATTACCCTTCAAAGTGTATCCTAGGGCTGTGCTATTGCACAGAACTTTCCACATTCATGGAAATGCTCTATAATCTTCCCTGTCCAATATAGTATACAAGCCACTTGTGACCATTGGGCATTTGAAATGTGGCTAGTGCAAGCAAGGAGCTGAACTGTTCACATTCTTTAATTTGCATTGCGTGTAAATAGCCGCATGTGATTGATCACTGGTTACTGAACAGCACAGTTTAGGAGTATTTGATAATAAAAATGATACAGTTGAATGACAACTTCTGGATCGATACTGGTCTCAGACAGAAATGAGAAACATGTCCTCATTCTCTCCACTCCTCTTCAAACCACCCCCTGCCCCTTAAAGGGAGAATCTGGAGCTGAGTTAGTGCCCTTTCTGAGTATCTCCTCCTTCACCTTCTATTGCCTTCCTTCTTTTTCCCTCATCCCAAGACTCTCCAACCTGAAGCCTTCCCTTAAGGGGGACAGACTTGAGAAGATTTGGAATATACTCCCAAGAAGAACCTGCCCTTGGACCATATATAAACAGAAAAAGTATGACAAATGCAATTTCCACTGTATTTGGTGCTACAACAAAATATAGTTAGGGAATTAAGGAAATTTACTTAGATGTGGGTATGCTATTTTGATAATGTAAAAATTGTTCTTTATTTCTTGGTGATGCACAATAGGGGATTTAGGAGTGAAGTACCATGATGTAGTTGTGTATGTGTGTGTGTGGGTGCATGTGTGCGTGCATACTGTAAGTAGACACTTGAACACCAAACACCTAGATAAATAAACACACATAGATGTATAGGTACATGCATGAAGTAAATAAATAGATAAATACATTTATTGGATACATGTATATACATAAATTTGATGCTGACGATGATAGATAGGGCACTGTTTGTAATTGTTAAGTACAGGATTAGATATGTGAGTACTCATGGGAAAAAATTAAAATGAATAACAGGAACAGAAAAAATAATGAACAACAGGAGCTACTACTAATTGAAAAATATTTTATTATCACCAACTGGAGGCCTCTTAAAGCCAATGTGAGTAGTGGGTGAGTGTTGCTTCTCTAGCCCTTCCAATCAGCTGATGCACAGGAGGGGCAGCGAGGCAGGGCCAGGGAAGATCCAAACATGAGGGAGAGGCCACAGGAAGGAGGGAGGAGCGACAGTCTGTGTGGGAAACACAGTGAGCACAGGGGTAGGACAGTATTAGATCTTGCCCATCCTATATCCTTCACACTCTAGATCTCTTGACCCATTCAGGCCTTATAGTAGTGGAGAGCCAGGCCAAAGCAGAGCCTAAAGGGTACCAAGACTGGTGAGCTGGGAAGGCAAAGCAGTCTTAAATTCAAAGAATGCAGTTGTGGGAATGAGTATCCTGCAGGATAAAGAGGGGACCTTGCATTTTCTGCTGCTGCCCCATCCCTCAAAGTCAATGGGGGCGAGGCTGGATATACACCTGAAATCCAATCCCACTTCCTTTTACCTGATGTGATTGCCAGTGATACTGTAGACTCAAGGGGTACTAGTCTCCTCAACTTTCAGGGCCAAGCAAGAAATGAAAGCTGTACTGAGGTTGATTTGATGGTGCCAGTTAGAGATCCATGCCCTCTGGTAGGTCAAGGAGTCAGCCAGCGCCGCACACACCCCCACCACACACACACACACATACATCCTGGAGGATTGAGGCCTGGCCTGACTCTTACCCCAGCAGGGCTGGAGACAGGCTTGGGGTGGAGTGTCACTCAGACTCCTTCTTGGTGCTCTCTCCCAGCACAGCTGATAGCAGAAAGGACCCAACAGGTCCAGGGCAGGGAGGGCTGCTGTGGGTACACTGCCAGGGGACTGTTAGAAAAAGCAAGAGGAGACCCTCAGCTGCCACTGAGGCTTCCTGTTTACACCTCCTGCCCCCAAACTTGTATCCTGCACAACTCCAGAGAGTACCACTCATATAGCAGACTAGGGTATACCACTTTCCAGAAGTATAAACTGTGGGAATACTGGGAAGTTATGGATCTTAGCTCAAACTTTCACCAGAAATGGGAGAAGCAATGAGTCCTTTAGTCTTCCCACATCACGAATTCCCAAGTACCTGTGTAGAGATGATTGCCGAGGAAACCGTTGGTACACTCAGATCCTGAGAAGCACCTACAAGATGAAGGTGGATCCACTCAGAGGGCGGAATTGGTGTTGGGGGCAGAGGGTATATGGGAAAAGGCAAGGAGGGTTCGGGTTGGAGAGAGTTCCTGGAACGGCAGCAGGTGTGGGAGGAGATGGATATCAAAACCCTAAACTGCCTTCCTCCCCAGGGCAGGGCCTTGGCAAGTTAGAAAGAAGGATTAAAACTCAGGGATGGTCAAGATATATCATATAAAGGTACAAATTCCCAATGATGAATGTCATCACGTTGCATACCGAAAATGTAGCAACAAACAACAAAAAACCCTCAGGGATGGTACTGGAGACAATACACGCCTTAAGAGCAGGGACTGTGTGTACCCAACATCTAGCACAGAGCCTGGAACATAGGAGTTGCTATGTAAATTTTAGTTAGTGGAGGGATGGAGGGATGGATGATGGGTGGATGAATACATGAGATGTGCACAGAAATCACCTGGCAGCTGCATTTCCCACTTCAACTTCTCTTGCCGTCGCCATTTGGCTCTCCTGTTTGAAAACCAGACCTGAGGAAAACAGGGACCAGGTAGCTGACTGCTTTCTGCCACCTGGCAACTCTGCTCTCACTACATGTTCCTGGCCTAGACTCAGAATATAGAACCTTCCTCAGACCTGATGTCTCCCTCTCTACTCTGGCCTTTGGTTTCTGTCTTTCCCCAACACAAAGGCTTGGGGTAGGAAAGAGAGAGCAATCAGTAGAAGGACAAGAAGAGGCTTTCATCTCTGATTTTTTTCTCTTTGCTCCAAATAAATTTGTTTCTATCTTCTTTCTCCTTGTGATTTGTGCACACCATGTCACAGAGCTTACCCTCACTGTGTCCTC